TWAAAAGAACTTTTGTACAAACAAACAAAAAWMTCTGCWCTTTTTACTAATCTTAYATGAAATAAATTGTTCGAAATTCTACTTCAATTCAACTCCATTCACAGCGGGTTAACGTTAGTAAGCCTCGGGGTATTCAAAAACGAACCAATATAAAATAACAACAATCCTAGTGTAGATATTATACTATTATTTATCATATCTTCAAAAATGTGAAGATCTCGCCAATAACTCACTTCTCTGATAACCCTTCCTTAATCATGTATTATATATATATAGTTGTGTTTTTAACGATGAAAGGTAGACTTCACTTTACTACCCTGACTTTTGCGAAAAGAAAATGTTCAAATTGCCCAGGTTATTAATTTAATAATATCAATATCAAATTCAGAACAACTAAAGTTTTTGTACAAGATTAGATAGTACCAATTGACAAACCAAAAAGTAAAATWAATTGTATACAATTACATGTAACATAGCGTCCATATTATAGTCCTAGTGTCTGCAATTCGGTTCAAGACAAACAACAATACACGAGTTTGGCTTTCCTTTAGATGACATTTAACCCGTGAAACTCTATCTTCCTATCGTATTTAACCCAACATTATATTAATTCTATTAGAGAGAGAGAGGGGGGGATTACCCCATGAAACAAAATAAAGTAAACCTTGATGCTCTTAAAGCGTTTACTCGCGTTCTAGGTAAATTAAACGTTCCTTGCGAYGCGTTTCGTAGGTTTGTTGTCTTTACTCGAGATTCAATTGTTTAGCACTGTTTACTACAATAAAGGTTGAGTGCTTTTTCATGTCTGCTATTAACCTTCCCTGTTTAAACAATTATCGACGTTTTTCTGATTCCACYRTTGTTGCCAGAATAATGTTGTTTGGCGCGCTTTCGTTTTTAACCACTATTTCAATTTATATGAAAGAAACAAGTGTAGATGACGTTGCCTCGGTAACCACACTTTCGGGTATGGCTTCACCAAATAAATGGCTACCCCAAATAAGCACTAGTCCATTTCGGTTCGTCTGKGTACGACAGTTATTGACATTGTCTAATAGTTCAATATATATAAAAGCAGATTTGATTCAAACTTTGTATTTTGTCAGGACGCCATTAAATGTATCCACGTCTACGAATTCGTTCTTTGTTCGAGATGARGCCAGTTTGGTATAAAGATCTTTGATTGCTGAAAACAAYGGAGGAMAGTGYTATACTCACTMACTTAATAAAAATCAATTTTAAAACGTCCACTTAGTCATTCAAAATAACCATCACATTCAATCAATGACGTCTAGTCAATCAATTAATCAATCAATCCACCCATCAATCAAACAATCAATCAATCAATCAATCAATCAATCAATCCATCCATCCATCATGATCAATCTTCGAATCAGTCAATCGATCTATAAACCAATCGGTCAGCATTCAATCAACCTATCATCAATCCATCCGACTAATCTATTATTACCCAATCAGTCAATCGATCAGTCAGTCAATCAGCCACTGATTCAATCAACCAACCAATAAACAATCAATCTATCAACAATCAATCAATTAATTAATTATCCATCAATCCAACAATCAGTCAATCAACCCATCACCCATTTTTGCATACACATCTCACAAACAGTGCCAATACTGCATTGTTGTTTGTAAATACCATTTAGTTATCCACTCACCTCTGCTATCATTACTGTCAAGAAACATTTTAACCATATCAAAGCGCTGAGCTTCACATAAATACCGTAGAATATCAAACGATAGTTTGTCTTCACCTGAACAAAATCACAAATATCATATATCTCGTCTTTGTAGAGTTCTAATTAAGAAAATGCTTTAAAGTGCCTATGACGCCTGACACAATCATTGCTGATTCTCTGTGAACTGATTCTTTAAAAAGTAAATAATTGAATGGTGAAATATTCCCGCATTTCAGTGTTGCGCCTTTGAGTTTTGAAGGTTTAATCTTACAATATGATAATGATAATGACGACAGGGAGGATTCATTAGATATACGAACTTTGAAACAGTTGCTCAAAAATGTTTTCATGAACTCCATCTGTGATTATGGTTATTTTCTACATTGCCTACGGACGATAAATTTAATGCCATGAAACAATTTTTAAGCRGCTCCTTCAAAGCTCGTATATCTAATGAAACCTTATTTTGTCAGGCGTCATAGGCACTTCAATAATTCATCAGACAAACAGAGTATAACAGAGATGTCTTCACTGTAAATCTAGACGGCGCAACTGGCAGGGCTTCACTTATCAAGATACTGTTGTAATAATTCATCAGAGTAACGAAGTGTAACCGATGTTTCTTACCACTAGGGTGAAGGTGTTCTGTAATAGCACCAATAATACATCGAAACATGTCAGCATCCAACTTGTTACTGAGAACTGGAAGAGAAACAAAAATATACAAAAATAAATAAATCAATATACAAATATACATACTACAATAAGTGAACTACAAAAGACACAAATAGATAGACAGTTGTAAAAATAAATAACTGTGACTGAATGAGAGAACGATCAATAAATAAATTCAAGAATGATTGTAGTAAATTGAATAAATGCATGGATGAATGAAATGACTTAATATTTCATTTACAGTACAATAGTCAAGAGCAAACACAGGAATACCATGAAATACAACCAAACTAAATACTAACAAATAACAGCTATTTAGAGACAGTTTGTCAGTACCAATGAACCAGAACGCAATGAAGATGAATCCACATAGGACCATTTTTTAATTCATCTTGATTTCGTACTGGTTTATTGATACAGACAAACTGTCTCTAAGAAGCCACTATTTGTTAGTATTTAGTTTGATATCATTTCATGGTTTTCCTGCATTTGCTCTATAAGAGCTGGAAACATGATTGACAGGGTCATTTGCATTACCCAGATCATCCTCAAGTACTGCTTAAGGGGCCTGGGTGCAAGTATCCAGACAGAAAAAGAAAGGTAGAGAAAAGAGACAATTAGGAATGGAGGATGAAGAGAAGAAAAACACCAACCTTTAGGYAACATTGCTGGATTAAGCTGTCGTAAGATGTCTGCATAACTAGACAAGTCTTTTTGYTTGACAGAGTTCCATGCTTGATAGAAATCAAATGCAGTTGCCTGCATGAGCAATAAAAAATACTTTTGTTAGACAAGAAAATACAATAACATTGAAGCAAACTGTSGTGAAAAACGATRCAAGATCCACATTTYACCTTGTGAAGTTTAATTTTCTTTTTCTTCTGATCTTTTGAATGAGCTGGTTTAGKGTTTTCCTGTGTTGTTTTTGTGGTTGTTGGGTTTRTCTTGRTTTTGTTGACTGTTTCTTTCAATGGTGTCGACTCAGGTGACTTCTGGTTCACTGGAGGGGAGTTGCTTGAGCCGTCCTGTAACAAAAGAAAGACATCAAGATAAATACCACCCATAGCCTATCATTCTATCTTCATTTTAAAAATCGTATTTATTACAATATTACATTAAAATGAATGAAATCATAAGATTTCTTGATATACATTGCTCCCTAAAAAGATCTTGGAAAAATACTTTGTACAAGATTATATTAGTACTTCCTAAAAATGTGTGTAAAAAAAATAACCATCTGTCTTTATTCATTTATTTTTCACCCATAACCCAATTGTATATGTTACCTCAATGCCATTGACTTCATCAATCTGCACTCTTCTTCTTTGAGTTTGTTTACTCTGTGCAGCTTTGTTCTTGGTCTTTGTTTCATTGACAGAATTCTTGTGTTTTGTTTCGTCCACAGAATTCTTGGCCTTTGTTTCATTGATAGAATTTTTTTGCTTTGTTTCATTGTTTGTGCTTTTGGAGTTGCTTGCTTCCTTTTGTTTCTTTCGTTGCTGAAATAACATGATAGCTTCCAGGTTACTTTCAGTATTTTTGGAAAAAGCATCAAAACAAGGTTTGGTTTCCAGATGGCAGCTTGCATTGAACCAGAATATAAAAAGGTGGGAAAAGTTTCAAGACATATATTAAGTACATGTACACTAACCATGGTACTNATACCTCTCGGCATAGATTTAGGACAATATCAAGTTCTTTTTTCCCTGAAGTATTTGTTGGTTCAATTTTAATTAAGTTCACAAGATCTTTAGCAGCTTCTTCATACTTTTGCAATCCCTACAAAACAGAAAAAAGACTTATAACAATTATAAGAATAATTAATTGATAAGTAAGGAACAAATGCATGCATGCATGGATGGAAGAATGGATGGGAAAATGAATGAATAAGATTATATTTTGCAAAAAAAATTGGAGACTGACTTGTTCAAATGTTACCTGACCTTCATCAATGTGATTTTTATTGAGAATAATGAATGTTTTAATGAATGAATAGATGAACAAATAAATTGCAGCAAAATCAATCAATAGTTGCCTGGTTCTACCTTTCTTGCAAGACCACGTCTGTACAGAGCCTTGACATTGTTGTCCTGCAGTTCAAGTGCTTTACTTGTATCTTCTTCAGCAAGAGTGAACTAAAAGTAATACATTGTTGCATTTGTTAAGTGGAAAAACAACAATTTTGATGAAATGGCACCAACCATGGTAAATAGGTGGTCGTACGATGACATAGTTTGTTTACATCCAAAATAATAAAATAAGCAATCTGAACTCATATAATTCAAGATTATATAAATGTCAACCAAACCCGAAAATTTTAGGGCAAACACCTTTTTATATTTTTCAAAACTACAAAATCTATAGAAAACATTCAGTGGTTGGCAAAATAATGCCAACCACGGTCATTTCTTAAGAAAATCTTGCAAATTCGGTGCTTCATATCTCTTGAAATATTTAACCAATTGCCTTCAAATTTGCAGGAATTGTTAACAGGTATGAGTTCTTTTCTTGTGTCTTGAAATTTGATTTCTTACTTGCAAATTAGCTAGAATGTAAACATTGGCGCCCATCTATAAGGGGGCTTTTTACCACTACAAACTATTAACTTGCTTGTTACCGCAATTAAAGATTTTACAATTAGATTATACCAGAAAAAAAGAACAATGTGGTGGTATGTACTTTTATTAATTTTATTCAAGCCTTGACCAACCAAAAATCTACAAAATCTACAATATTGTGGTAAAATCAATATTATAGCATAAAATTATAAAAAAATAGTGATTACCTTTTCAAGTCGTAGATAGCAAAGAGCTCTGTTGGTATATACAGCTACTTTAGATGGATCAAGGTCAATACATTGAGTGTAACATTGGACAGCTTGCTCTAGTTTACCCTGAAAACAAACACACACTTTAATAATAAAATTATTGTATTTCATTTTAGCATTGTACTGCAATGTGGCACATTTTAATTAAAGGCTATTTATTTATTCATTTTTTGGTTTTCATATGTAAATTTGGACAAAGTATAACAAAATCTTTAAGATCAAAATAAAATGACCAAAACTCATTTGTTCCATTACCAGATCATTCAGTCAAAATGAGTATTTTCCCATCGATGCATTTTCACTCTAACTAAATCTTTCATATTAGCTTTCATCAAATTATTCATCAATCCATCCATTTCCCCATCCCATAATTAAACCATTGATTTTCCATTTCAATAATCCATTCATTTGCAACTTCTTTTGTTTGGTCATTTATTCATCCATTCATTTGCCTTTCCATCTCATTTTTCATTAATCTATCTTTCCATCCATCCATTCCCAATCCCATACATCTATTCATTCAACTATTCAATTCACCTGCTTCACAAACATGTTCCCTTTTTCTTTACACTGATCAAACGTCTTCTCAGGATTTTCTTCTACAGGAATCTCATCCTTTTTCTGTTCTTTCATGGTGCTTGTTACACCATGTTTTGTGCTCAGATTACCATCACTCGCAGTAGTTGGAGTACTTTGATCTAAACCATCTGGTGATGTAGTTTGTTTGTTCCCTAGAATATTTAAAACCTTTTCTGTTGCRTTRTTRGTACCAGTATTTAATAACTCTGACGATGTTATTGTTTCTGCTACTTTAGTTCCTGATATTCTTTCCCGCCATGAGCTGCCATAAGTGTTTACTAGGTGTTTGCTAACCCTACAGGATAAACAAAATACCATTAATTGTAGCTATCACAGAAAACTTTGAATTTATTACAGGTTGGTAACAGGGAGACTTTGACATTCAAAGCAATAATGGTCCATACACTGACTTTTTTGTGAAATTTTATCGACAGGAACCTTGGTGCAGGGAGAGGGGGGAGAGGGAGGGAAAAGGCGAGGGGGAGGGTGAAGTATTTCCAAAATAATGATTCAAATCAGTGAATCATTTATTATGATGATTTCTAATAAAAATGAGTGGACAATCATGTACCTTGATTTGCCATTCATAGCAGTCTGGTTAGATGGATCAATCAATGCCACCGCATTAAAGTCTACGTATGACTCCTCATATCTAGTGAAAAAAAAAATGAAATTTACACTCAAATTGACCAGGAAAGTAAATGTTACTGAAGAAAATAGAAATTTTCAAGACCCCTTTTTGTTAAAGAAGCAGAGATGTAATTTGAGAAAGAGAAGGGAAAAGAGCTGATATAAGATGTAGAATGTAGAATGAAGAAAGAAGTGATGAAGAAACCATGGAGGAAACAAATAAAATTAATTCCTTCTTGCTTCCTTTATTGTCTTTTCTTTTTTGTAATAGGGAAAAAAACACAACCTAACAGAAACACTAACCTCTCCAGCATCTCATTRGAGGAAGCACGTTTCAGGAGAGGTTTGACTGAACCTGGCAGCAATGCTAAGGAYGTTGTGCAGTCTTTAATGCAGCCAAAAGCATCGCCGATTCTTTGCAGGCAGGCCGCACGGTTATTCAGCAATGATGATAATGCTGATTTGAATTGAGATTTATCTGAAAGAATACACATCTCATTTAGCATTAAAGGAATTTCACAAGTTTTCAATTAGTAACATAGTCTCCTTCTTGGCCTCCCCTTTTATTGGGTTTCCTATCCCTCAAAAGGAAAGGAAGCCCAACAAAAGGGAGAGACTGCAAAAGAGACCATCAATTCCAGGGCTTTTCAAGGGTATGTACATGTAGTTCCAACTGACACAAAATAAATAAATCTCTTGTTCTGCTTTTTAACAAACCTTTTTCAAGGAGCTCAATTGCAACTGTAAATTTCTCTGCAGCCTCTGCATATCTACCAAGCTTGTACAACGACATTCCTTCATCCTTTGACTTCACTACAATTCCAGGAAGCTCTACAACAGGAGGTGGTGATGGCACCACAATTTCTTTATGCTCTGAATTTTCTTTCTCAATTGAATTACTTGAAGATGAACTTTCTTTTTCACTTTTGTTACTTGTAGATTGCAAAGGCTTTTCTTCATCATTTTSACTTGTTTTTGATGGAGTTAATTCATAATTGTCTTTGSTATTATTTGAGGAAGATGATAMACAGCTGCCATCAGTYAAGTCAACAGGAGARTTGCTGCTTTGTTCAGCTTTTTCAACAGGTTTCTTCTCTTCTTGGATAACTTCTTCTTCGTCATTGTCCACCTCTATGATCTTCATTCGTGTTCCTTTCTTCTTGGTTTGTGTCTCAGCTTTAGGTTTGACGTTATTCTTATTTCCACTTCTGAAACACATACATGTACCCAAAATTCATAATAATTCACAATTGTTTCACAATAATCCATTTTGGAAGTCAAATCAAATAACCGCTGCCTTATTTGTCAACAGACTCTCTTGTGCAAAGACTATTTCCAAGACAGATGAAAGCAATAAAAATGCTGTAAATATAATAGCCCGAACTATTTGCATTTTCCCTGAAATAAGGCTATGACACTGATTCCCAGATTTCTTAAATGATCGGCCTTTGGGTAAGGGTTAGTGTCAATTTGCCAGTTATCAATTAGTATAACAAAGCAAAGTTTGACTTACTTTTCTTCATCTGCAGATAATTCATTAAGAATTTCCTAGAAGGAAAAAAAATGAAAAAAAGTCAACCACTTATAATATTGTAGTATGTTTCTTTGCAAGATGTTCAGAATGTAMAATAAATCAATTCACAACACTAATTCACAATTCACATTGTACTGTATACATGGTATATGCAACAAATTCATTGTTAGCCTTGAAAGTGAGTCCAGGGTTCATGTTCTATCTTTAAGTAGTTTACATACCTGTGCTCTCTTGTTGTTGGGTTCAATCTCAAGCACTTTGTTCAAGTCACATCTTGCACTASTACTATCACCTTTGCCTTTATGTGCTAATGCTCGTCTTAGGAAAGCTGCACAATTTAAAACAGAATCAGTACATGATGACTGCAATATGTCCAGTTACTGTTATCGCCACTATACTCTGGGCACTAGTTTATTAAAAGGGAAAAGGTGTTGTGTGCTAATCGTCCTTCATGGCAGCACGGGTGCTGAATTGCGAAAGACGCAGCTCGGCACGCTATCAAGTACAGACCATGTTTGTTATCTCATGCTTAAAAAACACATTTACATAACACAGGAAGCCCAATTCATACACCCTAACACTCTACAAACAATAAGTAAGTTAGAGAGGGTAAGGTAGATAAACATGTAAGACTTGTAAAAATAAAATGACCTTCAACTGMTTGCCATCATTGATTTCATTGGCAWAAACTCCTAACTAATATTGGCTGGYATAAAAGTTATAGTCATGTGATAATGAAGAATTTTCAATGACTTTTCATGCCTCTAAACAAAATTTCATGACTTTCCAGGCATGSAAGACTTAATTACAGTAGAAAAATTCCTGGCTTTCCAGATTTCCCAGAAGATGTCTAAACCTTCTCCATCAACAACTGCAGCTGTTTCAACATGATTACTATTTACCTTTAAGATTACTTGGTTCAATGTCAAGCACTGTATTACAATCATCAATTGCTCTGTCAAAATTCTTTAACCTCAAGTTAGCAAAAGCTCTGTTATTGTAAGAGGCAGCTGTGGGTTTGTATTGGATACTGCGTGAATAGTAAACCAAGGATTCTTTGTAATCTCCACAATGAAATGCTTCGTTTCCCTTGTCTTTTTCTCTTCCAGCCAGAAGAGTAAGCTCTTCATTTGATTTACCTGAAGTTAAGAATTTTCACTTAATGTAGCATACTAATACAATTTCTGTACAATCCTGGATTAAACTGTTTTATCATAATTATCTATGAAATACCTATATTTCTCAATGTCGTAAACTTGATATCTTCACTAGTGAAAATAACACATTCGATGTTTCTCTACATGTATATAGTGAAAGTAAGAAAAAAGCTATTTTACGACATAATTTCCTTTTGTATACAATTATATGATAAATAGAATATTACATGTTTGCTTGGAGATACAAATTTTATCTTCTCGTGTTGAAAATCTTTTCAACACTCGAAGATAAAATCTGTATCTCCACGCGCCCATGTAATATCCTCTATTTATCAAAACATTATACGTTTGGGTGAATGATCTGAATCTAACCAACAAAAATGAATGTTGAATGGACTGAAAGGTCATCACCTCAACATTCACAAAATTGTTATGTAAAAAGATAAATTTAACACTGTAAAAAAGTATGTGGAAAAACTTACTGACGTTTCGGATGTTAATTCTTCGTCGGAGTAATTCTCCGACGAAGGATTAACATCCGAAACGTCAGTAAGTTTTTCCACATACTTTTTTACAGTGTTAAATTTATCTTTTTACATAACTGTTTCTTTAGAAACACCGACGCAGCTCACACTAGTTTACTGCTAGTTCTCACCATTCACAAAATTGGTTTATGTTTGAAGGGAGGGTAAGGAAAATTAAAATTGCAAGAATTCTTTTTCCTTTTTTGAGACTATAAGTGACTGTGTGTTGATAATTTTTTTCCTCTTATCAAAAGAAGGTGCTACAAGCTTTATTCTTGAGACACTATTGAACAACAGCATATTTCTGTTTTCCCACCAAGCTCACAAGACTTGCTACAATTTGAGTGAACATTTTTCATCAGCTAAACTCATATGGGGAGCAAGGATGGCGGAGCGGTTAAAGCGCCGGTCTATCACCGCTGTGGTCCTGGTTCGATTCCCAGTCTGGGACTATATGTTATTTGAGTTTGTAGGCTGGTTCTCTTCCTTGCTCCGAGGGTTTTTCTCCAGGTCCGCTGGTTTTCCTCCCTCAGTCAAAACTAGCTGTGAGGAGTGTCGTGTAGTAAAATAATGAATGTTGAGGTAGTGAGTATGAGTGAATATATAGAGGGCCACAAGCTTATTAGTCTAGAGACTATTACGTGCTACCCTCTCAAAATAAAAGACTTTA